AATCAAATTTTTATAAATTTTCAATTATCAAATATAACTAGGTAGATATATACATACATATATACATATGTATATGTTTTAAAGTGATTAAAATACAAAATATATGTGTGTATTCGATAATCAAAAAAAAAATAAATTAATAAATTTTTAAAAAATTAAAATTTGAAATCAATAATAGGAAGGTCTATATACATATGTATATAAATATACACACATAAATAAAAACTGGTTAAAAATTAAATATATTTAAGAAATAAAAATAAAAAAAAAAAAACACTTTCTATTTTAAGTGTTTTAAAAAATTATAATTTTGAATATATTTCCTTTTTTTCTGCTTAGAATTTATTAAATTTAGAAATTATTGTATATAAGACGTACCATATAAATTGAAGGAGTTCAGTATATTGATAACATTTCCAAAGTTCTGAATAGAAATTATTATAGAAATTAAAATGAAATTATTATTTTTCGTATTTGCATTATTGTTTGCAATTGCAACAGCACAATTTTATCCCGGATTCGGGGGTGGTTTTGGTAGACCATATTATGGTGGATTTGGTTATAGACCTTATGGAGGATTTGGTTATAGACCATTTGGAGGTGGATTTGGAGCTGCATCAGCTTCAGCTTCTGCCGGTGCATTCGGCAAAAAATAGAATATTGTAAATATTTTATATTAAATAATTTTATGTTTAAATTAAGAAAATAAATATGATTTAAAAAAAACAATATCTGTGTTTCTGTAATAGTTAATAATTTTATTAAATATATTAAATTACCATAAATTTTAATATGTTGGAATTCAAATGAATTGCCCTGTCAACACACATATCATTTAAAACAAAATTTATTGTTAGCATCCTTATAAGAATATTTTAAATTTATTCAGTTTGTGTTATTGTGGTAATGGTATAAATGGGTTTAATAATTGTTGTTCTTTTAAATATTCAACACAAATCTTTTAATATGTTCCATTGTAGTACAGCAGCCACCTCAAACCGCAAGACTTCCATCGATGTATTAAAGGCTTTTCGTAGCGTGTAAGGCAAACAACTGCCTCGCATTCGTACAATAAGTACTCACCCTTTCGTTCTCTTCCAGGCAGAGACGGTAGACTTCGCCTTCGGCATTGCCCAATGTTTTGAGATCGAGGGATAGTGTGCAGTGTGAGCACACACGTAAAAAGCCCAAAAACCCATCGCCCTTCATTGGCTGTGCACTCATCTGTGTAGAAGATCATGCTAAGACCCAGCAGCGAGTCCCCGTGTCCCCCTAGTCCTCTCGGGCAATTTAAGGCCTCACTATGTTTTTCGCTTTCGAATCAAAGTCTAAGTCTTATATTATGCAGATTTGCCTCAAAATACTAAGGTCTCTAGGCTTTGGATCCTGTATGGTTTTATTCGCAATGTTCCCTTCACAGCCACCAGTTTTGAGATGAACTTGAAGCGGAGCCATGCCCAAAAGAGCCTATATCGAGGCCGTTGGGCACGTCCTAAGAGAGCTTGTTATACCAAGGCACGCAAGGTGCTGCAGTCTCGTGAAAGCGGCATATGTCGGGGTCCCCCCGGCCTTCTGCCCCCATATGAGAGAAGAGTACGTTGCAATTAGTCGCGCAATGTTAGTATAGTTTCAATAGATCATTATCTTGACATTTCAATAATTGTAATTATGGAAAATTAGCTGTAATAAAACTTTTACTGTATAATGTACATAATATACATATTGCATGAAATCCTAAAGCAAATACATACATGCTATAAAAGTGTAAACAATAAATATTTTAAAATTTTTGTGGATTAAAAAATATTATAAATAATTTATATACAATTTTGAATATTAAGGATATTTTTGTTGTCAATATAAAATTCTGTCATATCAGAAGTAATTTGTGTAGAATAATAATACATACATCATACTATTTTGTTAAGAAAACAAAAAACACAATGGAAATAATTCGCAGAAAGGTTATCCTATAAATATGCAAAATATTTTGTAATAGTTTTTTAAAAGCGTTAATGAAATATTGTGAATTTGTAAATTTATATTGTGAATAGTAATGAAATGATAATATCATTCAAGTGAACATTATGTATTTATATTACATTTGGAAATCAAGACCTATTATTAAAATACAAGCATTTTTTCAATTATTTTAATATTATTAATTTAGAGTTCGGGGGTGGTAATACAAAAACGCAAAAATAATTTTCAAATAAAGAGATACATCACAAATCTTTTCTAATATGTATACGTTATATGGTTTACAATCAATACAGAATTGTAAATTTTTGATGGGAGAAAAACATGACCAAAGGTGCATGTTTGTGAAGTTGTTGAAAAATTGACTATAATTTGCAATGTATCACCTAGAATTGTACAATATAGAAGTACTTTATAACGAAAAATACCAATTTTCATTACATATACCTAAGTCTATATAGCGCTAATTTATATATCTATGTTTTCGCTCTACTTACGGATTGACAAATATGTATGTACCTAGTTACTTTTTTTTGTAAAAAGACTAAAACGTTTGTTTTATATCTCGAAAGATTAAACAATCCAATATTTTATTGAAAAAACTCTAGATATTGTGTAAATAAGCTATTATATAAATAAGAAGGCTGTCTGTTATACGTTATATTTATATATACTTACATACGAGTATTATGTGAATACATTTGTGTTAAATAAAATTTTTCTTATATTTTTGGGTAGAAGGTAAACAATGATTTTGGTATTCTTAACAATGGCCTTGAAAAACTTTTTCAAAAAATAAAAGTTCATTTTGTATGTAAACATTTCAAGTAATATTTTGTTTGTTTATGATAATTTAAACATGTGCACATAATGAGTGTGTGTGTATATATTAGTATACACATTATATATTTATGTATGTATTAATATATGTATATATTTATACACAATATTATGCACGTTTCATGTGTAATATTCATGTTATCAGTTTGTAATGACGACGAGTTTTAGAGTCATTTTCATATTAATATGAAAAAATACTATGTTAAAATCGAGCTCCGTTAATTATCATCCGTTGACATTAAGTACGAAGTGTTTTAGGAATAATATGTGAATTTGTAGATATATATACATAAGTTCAAAAAACCTATAATTGATATACATCTAAGCAAAATACCGCAATCAAAATCGCTCTTATAACAATTTCATTCTTCACTAATTGGGTTCTTTTTGCAGGAATAGAACACTTCTAATTATTCCGGAGTACTTGGGAGTAGTTTGTGAAGGAAGCGATGTCGTATATGAAAATCCCGTTATATGAGAGATTAAACTTTTGCTTATAAAATAATTTGCTTATAAAATCATAAAGCCATCTACTGTAACAAACGTGAATAACTACTCCTCTGTTATGGTTTTTTGTATAGTTTGGAGTGCTACATAGGAGTCATATAATACTCTATATTTCCTTAAATTGACCGCCATAATTGAATGTATAAATTGTAACAAGTTTTTTCAAAAATTTTTTTAACATGTCAACTGAACCTCACTTATGTTTTTCTAATTCACAATAAATAAAATTTTCTTCTGAATCCATTGAATTGAATACTGATATAGTGCACCAATATCGCATTTTTGTTGACTTTTTATAAATATTAATTATAAAATATTAATTTTAAGGGAAATACATATATGTGCGCATCCACTATTTATTAATTTTCATATTGTTAACCAGTAAAAGATTGGACCGCGGTTTCTATACTTTATTTTTAATTTTTTCTAGAATTTATTGCTTTATTTTATTATTGCATTTAAATTTAATTGTTATAAAGAAAATAAAAGTCTGGTGATACCCGTATAAAGCATTAAAAATTTGAAGATAATTTTTGTTGAACAACAAAGTACGATAAGTGTTAACCGATAAGAAACTAATTAATAAAATGGAAATGTACAAAAATGATAAGTCGTTCTAAGATTATCCATATGTATTAGCATACATATACATTAACATACATATATAAATATATATATATATATATATAATGTATATTTAAAGAAATATTGTGAATATTTGTTCAGAACTGTAAACATTTTATCAAAATGTATTTCCCAAATGCAGCTTAGAAGTTAAAAATGTCGATGGTAAAGATTCTTTAATTTTTGTCAGCAAATAATTATACATTCATATATAATAGGTATGGGCATACATAATTTAATAAATAATACTTGCACCCATGTACTTTTATGATTTCTTGAAACAGTGGCACTTATTTCTAAATTTCGTTAAATAAACTTCGTTATTTTGGCATTATTTTTTACAACTTAACATTCTAAATGAGTTTTTTGTCAGGTTTTTTATAGTTTTCTAAATGTGACAGTTTAAAAAAAAGCAGAGGGGTTGGCAAAACTGAAGTCTCTGTTCTTTAATATTTTAATGTTAAAAATTTAATTTAGTAGCTTTAAGCACTTCATTATAATAATTGATTAAAATTTTTTTATATTCTTCAGTTTACATCTAAAGCTTTTTGAAATCTTGTTGGCTCAATTATACATGTTTTCCAACATGGTTAGCTCCGTTAATAGAATCGGGCAAAATCAATTGAGAATCCAGCCTTAATTCCTTTTCCAAATTAAATCTTGTCAGTTTCTCAAAGTATAAGACTTTCGTTTTAAGACTTTCTCTTGTTTACCTGTTCTCATTCTGTAAAGGTTTATTTTTTTACTTTAAGTTTGTCAGTATTTGATTGTCTTTTTATTAAAAATCTTTTGCTTTTTATTTAAATTAAATTGTTAACATAACGTTGTTTTATTAGCGAAAAGTTAATCATTATAATGAAAGAAAGAATTGTATAAGAACAATATAAAATATGAATCACAATTTATAATCTATACGATACAATTAAAATAACAAAGAAAATTGCAAATTTATTGTTTTTCAATTTTAAAAAAGAAATTATAAAAAGAATTATTGTAAAATATAATATAAATGCATTTTTCCATAATAATGTACCTACATGTATGTGTGCATGTGTATTTATTGAAATTAAAAATATTATGTAGTTAAAAATAGAATTTCTGATTCTATGGTCTAGATTTAACAAAAACCAATATATAAAAATGTTTCACAATTTCTGTTTTACATTGATTCAATATTGTAAGTTTAAGTTTCTGTTTGCCTTTAATTAAATTTAACCTATATATTACTGTTACTTAATATGTATGTATATGTATGTAAGGTAGATAAAAATAATTTTAAATACATTCTTCTATTTTATGTTAAAGACTTCTATTTTATGCACAAGAATCTGTTTAAAATTCTGTATTTGTAGTAGAATGATAGCATAATAATCAGAAATAGTCGTGTTTTTTCAATATTACTTTGGTTTGTAGTAGTTGATGGTGTTCAACATTTTCAATAGGTGTGGATATGCACATACACACATTCTACATGTAAATATAGTATAAAAAATAAAAATAAAATTAAAAATTCAAATTACATATTTTATAAAAGTCATTTCTGAAGACCTTACTATATAAATAAAATTTAAAAAAAAAACCATTGCATTGCTTAAAAAATAAATCGTATAAAATATTTAATTTACGTCTATAAAAATGCTTAAATTAGAATGTTATAAAATTACATTTATGTATTTAGGCATATATATATGTTTATTACTGATTTATAAAATCTTAAGAATTAAATAATTAAAACTTTTGTCCAAATAAATTTAGACTTGATTCTATATAAAGAACTTCAAATATTATTCATAATAATCAGATAGGTTTGAATGGTGAATTTATTGTTGGCAATTATTTTTCCATTTGTTTGTTATCATCAGCTTGTGATTCAAAGAAACGACATCCACAATCGCAAATATGCTCTACTTTACTATCTTTTGTACATTTATTCTCTGTACATTTGCATTGGGTGCAATAATTATATGATACTGGCGGTGTTGTAGGTGTTGTTGGTGATTTTGGATGAATAGGAAAATGATTCCAATGTGGACATGGCATTTGAAGTGGTGGATGTGTTGGAAATTGTGGTGATTCACTACCACTTTTAATTATTTGATGGCATTCATTTGATGAACTCATTATTGTTTTTTTTTTTTTTAATGTTCTTTTTGTCTTTAAATTTAAATGATAATTTTTAATATGCAATTTAGTTTGTTTGTTTTTTTTGAACACTTTATGGTGAAAAAATTTTTATAAAAATTTTGATTCCTTGTATGTTTTTTGTTTTTTTGATATCGTATTTTATAAACAAGTTCGTTGTTTTTTTTTTTTTATTTTGTTATAAAGTTTGTATATACTTATTTCGTGTTGATAAAAAAGCACTTTCTAGAATTTTAATTTGTTGTATAAAATTTTGGCTTATTTAATTGTATAAATCGGTATTAAAAATTTATTTATTAAAAAATGTAAAAATTTTTAAAAAAACACTTCCGTATTTAAAAGAAAAAAAAATTATAAACAGCTTAAATAAAATTTGTACATGAAGTAGAAGATTCAGTCAATGGACTAGAAAACGAATAACAAAAATAAAGTTGAACGCAAGTCTTTTTTTTCATAAAAACAAAACCTACATATACAAAAATGTTAAAATATTGTACACACACGGAAACATTTGTATTTGTATGCACAGAACATAAAAATTCAAGATGAAGTCATATAAATCGACCGAAACCCTATATACTTACCTACTAAAAGTAACACAAAATTTACTATTTATTCCATATTTTTCTAAAAATCTAAACAGAGAAGTGAGAGAATAAATTTTATGTCATATTTTGTTAAAACAGTGGTGGTACGTGAGCAAACATTTTAGTGTACTAAAATTTTTATTATTGATTATAACAAGCAAGACTGAAATATAAATAAGTAGAAAAAAAAAATAAATTGCTTTTTTTTGTACAAATCAGTACAAATTTAGTTTAAATTTGATGTATTTGTCAGATCAGACTTATGAAAAAATTCTGGCTTGCACTGCCCCATATATTAAGAAAATTAACTTGAACAAAATTTTTTTTTGTTAAACAGATTAAAGCAACGCTCTATTTCTTCCCTAATCGATTTTTGCTAAAAATTCGAGTACGACCAATGCTGCAGTACATTTTGCTATATTCATATATAAATAAAATATAAAATGACGATAAACCACTGAAACATCTTTTCTATCGTACTGTAACAGTAAAAGAGTATGAAACACTCACACATTTACCACTCTCATATTTTTGTTTATATTGTAAACAAAATTGAATACAAATAAAGGGAGAGAGAATAAAAATGTTTTACAATTATTACAGTACCAAAAGAAATTAAAAGGTACCTCATCATAACACCTTATATAATTGGTTCTATAAAAATGAGATACTTTGCAAAATAAAAGCAATATTAAATTTTTTTTTTACGTCTTCTATTACAGAATATTTTTTATCTTCATGAAAATAATAAGCTAGTAACATCATTTTTTTTTGTAAGGATAAAACAATTTTATTTACAAAATGTAACATTATCGTATTTTGTTATACCAGGATATTGGTATAAAAGTGCAATAAAAACTCTGTTATAAAAATGTGCATGTATTGTTATACTCTTTTAACATTTTTGTATAAATGTTTGCTAAAACATAATAATACATTGTATAAAATTTATGCTTGTGTGTGTAACTACTTATAGATGAATGTTTTGTTTTGTGCACTTATGTAAACAGATAAATAATAAAATTCGCTAAACAGTTTGTTTGTTTACCTCGCTTCATATGTTTAAATTTACAGTTTACATTGTTAATGATTATATAACATACATAACTGTAAAACATGTTATAATAACTTGCTGTTTCTGCAAAATAGGAATTCTTTTTTGAAATATTAAAAATTTTTTTATAGGTTTTGCTATTAAGACATCAGTAATTTCAATCTGTTTACATATATCTTTAATCTTTTAGCATTAAGTTTGTTCCTACAAATTTATTAAGTTTTTAATAAAATTGAACACAATAAAAAAAATTTGATGTGGTCAGTTACTGAATGCAACTTAGCGAAAGTGTTACAAAATACTATAAAAATATCTTTTTAACATTTTTTTCATATTTTAAGGACGCTATAGTAAGCTTTATATTACATATCTAGAAAAACATAATTTGGGCCCTTAGTAGACTTACATCAAATGTCATTCGATTCCTTTAAAAGTCTGTCAGTTAGTTCCGGCACCGAACAAAACCAAAATATTAAATTTCAAGAAATTTCGTCAATTAGTTATTTAGAAAATAGTAGAAAATGTAAAACCGATCCCTAGGGAAAGTTAAGTTTCCGAGCCCTGATATTCTTAATAAACTTACAAGTTTACTATTTTAACACCCTGAATTCAAATATTAAATTTTAAAGAAATTTGTTGATGCAAAATGGCTGGTATGAAAAGTCCAGTTGTAGACATTTGATTTCTCCCCAAAATGATGTGATTTCTTGTACTGTCAAGCGAAGCTTACATATATCTATAAAATTTCAAGTTAACCGTTTGATAATCCATCATAATGGATCATCAAACTGAATGTAAAATTGGCCATCAACGACATCTCTTTAAAACTAGTTTATTTACACTTCCCTATCATGGATTTTCCCACCAAAATGTCGACACCCGAAATTTGGTGCCTTCACACAACCTCCCTTATTGTATGTAATGCATTCGGTAATTAAGAAAAAAAAATTACAAATTTCTTATTGATAAATTTTTTTCTTGAACAACACTTATTATAATTAATATTGTCTTATGTACTAATTATTGTAACCTCTTAACCTTCTGCAAAAGACATTATTGGAGTTATTTGATAAAAATTCCTGACCGATCTTTTTGTCACGTACAATACAATAGCACATTAAAATTCCATCATAGTTTCTAATATTTTCTATATTATTTCTTTCTCTATATACGAATTAACTCATTATCCTTATTACATATATACCAAAATACGATATAGATTAAAGTGCAATTAAAAATAATATTTATTACTTAACAGTATTCTTCTTTTTTTATATATATAAATCTTTCTATACCCACAAATATCCTTGATAACTGAACGTCATATATCACAATATAAGTAGATTTGTATATAAGTATGAAACTCATTTGTATGTAAGTTTATATTTTTCATTAATAAAACATTATACGCGTACACATAATATAAAACTCATTTTCTTTCATGTTGATTAATATTGTGTTTTGTAAGATAAACCGTTTCGTAAAGAAAAATGTCCTTGATAATAAAAAATTAAACTTAAAAATAAAAGGAAAAAATAATGAATAAAAAAAGGAATAATGATTTAAAAAAGGAATGTAATATCCTGACATAACAATTGTATCAGGATATTTTATTATTATTATTATATACGAGAAAAACAATATATTTACATATACACATATATATACACATTTAAGGATAATTGCAATAAAACAATATTCTTTTTTATGCTTGTTATGTGGAAAAATATTAGAGAATATTAAAGAAAAAATATAAATGCTTCCAAGAAACAAAGAAAATAAAGGACAAATAAAGAACGCTTATTCAAATATCAACACATTTTGTTTCAATATATTCAACAATTTCAGGATATCGCGGTAGCAACAATTTTTATCTTAAAGAACCATTTAATATGTAGACATTTGAGTTTTGAACCGAAGAGTGAAAAAGTCAAATATATGTAAAAAAACACAAATCTATATTGAACATAAATTAATAATAGGAATAAGAAATAAATCAAATTCCTTCTATATGAAATATGAAATCGGAATGAATCAAAATGGATCAATTTGCAATGAGTTTTTCATACACATACATGTGTGGATGCATGGATGTATGTATCATATTTTTATGAAAATGCTTTGAGCATTTTCTTGGAAAAAAACAAATTTGATTGTAATCAACACTTTTTAGTAAATATTTTTGGCATTCATTACACCCTCTTGTTGATATTTCAATGAAAGCAAATAAATTTTGGTATATTGTGGCTATGATTCAAAGGTGATAGAGTAAATATTAAAATTTCAAGAATAAATTGTTGGTAATTTGAAGTATTAAAAAGTTTTTAGTTAATTGCTTTAAAATTGTAATTGATTCGGGTTGCTTTAATTTGATATAGGAAAATATATGAAAAATTTTTATGGTGAAATTGATTAATTTTGTTATTTTTGATTAATTTATCAGAACCAAGCGATTTTCTTGTATTTTATAATTTATAAAATTCAAATTTACTTATTTGACCGTACTTAATATTTTTTAATTATGAAATATTAAACACTATTAAATAATAAACTGTATCAAATATTTTTAAGGAATATCACGATTTGGAAAGCGAATTCATTACCAATCACAAAATCGGACTCGAAATTGTGAAACTCTATACTAAATATACTAAATTTGCATTTTAATGGGTGCGTATGAGTAGTATGAATATGCAGATTTTGGTGGTAGTAAGTGATGTAGAAAAATTTTTAACAGCTACCTATCAGAAAAAGTATTATGAAGTTGAATAAAATATGGTATTTAGGAGGAGTGTTATATAATTGAAATGATCATCGAGTGTAAGAATTTTGTTTTAATAATCGAAGCATAGTTGAGTTACAGGATATTCTAAGAGTCACAGGAGCCAGCTGAATACTGATGGGAAGTTTCGGTGCGAATGAGAGCGAAATCGACAAAATCTCTTCTGATTCTTTTACTCTGGTATAATTAAATTGAAATAATTTGAGATTGATTTACAATCAATCCAAATTATTTTTATCAATCCAGTTTGTTGATTAATTTTCAACTTAATAAACATTTTATGCTCTTTATTTGTTTTTCTTTTCACAGTTTTTAGGCAATTTATTTTAGTAGTTAAAGCCGCTTTGCATTTTTCTTAAATATCAAGAATTTTATTTTTTTTTATAAAGAAAATTTCATATTAAAATTATTTGTTTATTTTCCTTTTTAGCATAATTATAATAAAAAGTTTCTTAAATTGCAAAAAAGGCATACACTAAATTTATTATAGGGTATAAACCATATATATATATATTTATAATATATATAAAATGGAATATACACCCACCTATATAAACAGTAATATTGCAGGAAAGATGAGATTTTTATTTATTTTAAATTATTATAAATTTTAAATCCATTCTAAAATTACAGGATCTACATTATATTTATATAGAATGTAAAGTTGTAATACAGTATAGGAAAGCAAAAAAAAAAACAAAAATAAAAAGTAACTTCAGCATGAAACACTATAAATTTTGTAGTAGAATCGTTAACCTGAAGTCCTTTGTGACAGAGAAAATATATACAAAGAAGAAATGAACTTTCTTATCCTTAAATTTCCAGCGCAGGATAATAAACGTGAAAAAAAGAAAACAAACAAGGAAAAAAACTAAGTAAATAAAGCATATTCCGTTGATACGCTCGTATTCACTTTATTTTTACGTGTATATTTTGTAGTTCCATCTGCTTTTCTTCTTTCATATTATGTACATAAAAGTGAAACTTCCTTCCAAGGAAAACTTTAATTCAAGGCTAAGGTT